GAATTAGTTTCTATGTGTTGTCGCATAAGTCATAATAACTGAACAATCACAAATTTATTGGATAGATATATCGGTCGTCGAAATTAATATTTGATACTTACAATTCTCACGATGTTAAGTTTAATTTTAAAAAAATCACATACAAAACAAGAGAAGAAATTCGTTAAAAAAATCAAATAAATAAAGGAATTATGAGAACTCATAATAAGGACAATATAAAGTGTGAAACTGATAGGAAAATTCAAGTTTGCTATTATGATATGCTAAATATGATTATTTTTAGGCAGAAATTTCTTAGAAAGACTCATTATTTATTTTCCCCGACCATTGCCATTTTTCCTTATTCAAAAAGTCACGTACTCTGCGATACAATGTGTTTTACTCATAGATGGCTTTTCCAATTCTTAAAATTTTTCAGATATTATCGTCTGTCCAGTGACTTTGAAATTAGCTGTAATTAATATAAATAATATATATATTCAAGAGTCAGTGATAATAATTTTTACTTTTATTGTCAAAAACCCATCCAACGTCTCGGAATTTCTTAGCATTGTTATCAAACTCATTATTACCCGATGTGATTAGTCAATAGTAATTGTTTTCAATGCACTCGCCGCATAAAATAAAAGTAAAGACCGAATAGTGGGCAAACAATGAAATTGTTTGATACGCATAAACACAAATGTTTTTTTTATGAAAACCGAAGAAATATTCCATTTATTTTCGATATAATTGCAATAACTTTAAAAGATTGTAAAAAACTTTCATGTAAACAAATAATATGGAATAGGAAAAGATGTGAACGCGATTATTTGTTCAAAAACTCACACAAAATTTTTTCCAATAACCGAATTTACCGAGTTGATTACCCGACAATCAAATTTACGAAATGTCCCATATTTTGCAAATGACGACGTGTCTTAAGAAATTAATGTTACAACCGCAATAACTACAGAGAATATCAAAACTTCTAAAGCCGCCAACACTCCTTCCAAAAACAGAGAAACGTTTACCTTGAATTAAATTGACAAATCATCATATTATATTGTTTGATCTTGGTCAGAATGATCGAAATGTAAAATGTTATCCGTAACTTCTCCTGAAGTTCACAATCAAAGTCAATTTGAGAAATAGTTGTGAGACTGCATTGTACATAACCGAAAGGGTAGCAAACGATAGACACTAAATCAATAAAATTTATTGAATGTGCAATTTATTTTAACATCATTAAAAAATATAAATCCCCTTTTGAAAAAAAAAATTTAATTTATTACCAATTTGATGCAAAAGTATGTCATCATGAGCGTGATTCTTTTATTTTATCATGTAAATCCACTTTAATAATTGACAATTTGTAAATTTATTTTAAAATATCTTTGACATTTTAAAATAATTTGGTTTAGAATCGAAAGCTTAAAGACCTTTGGAGTTTAAAGTCTTCCTATAATAAAGTTTTATTGGAAAACCTCGGAAACTCGAAACCATAATAAAATCTGTTCACAAGTCAAAGGCATGGGACACTCGGCAAATTAGTTGCTGACAACTCGGCAACTAGCAACTCGAGTTTCCAAAAAATAACAATAAACACATATAAAATAAATAACACATTTGAATTTTAACAGAAATGTAAATTATTTAAGTCGCCGGATCACTGCCAAATTATAAAACAGGTATTTATTGGCCGTCACAAGTTTTATTATTATTTTTCTAGCAATCTGATTTGCCGGGTTGCTGGAAACAAATTTGCTGAGTGTCCCGTGACTTATGAAAAGAATTAACAATCCGTCGAACTCTAAAGTTTCGACTTTCGCCATTTACTATAATAAGTTTTGCCAGGCAACTATGATCACAAAATCAATTTCTGGAACATAATTTCTCCAAATAATTAAATAATCCCAAGTTATTTCCATTTCATATTGTATACTCCATTTAAAACAAAAATAAACGGGTTAATTTCAATAATATGTAATTAACATATCAGATATTTTAAAAGTTATTAACCACTTGCGTGAGATAACTAACTTTGAAAATGTCCGAATAGAAAGACTATCGGAAGTGAACCGAGAATTTTTCAGATAGAAAAATAATATGGTGAAATATATATGTAAACAACTATAAGTCCTAATTCAAAAGAAACGACAAGGTTGTAGCTTAAGTAAACACATTATTTTTTTTTGTTTTAGTTAATTATAATAAGAAAGAAATTATATATATTGTCGCTCGGTAAATTTTATTCTTCCGATCTATTATTATTGATGAAATACGGAAATTTTCTTAATTGTTTCAAAAATGATTCGCCAAAGAAAATTCTAAATAAAAAGAGTGTCTGTATTTTTATCTTAATTAGATTTATGATTGCGTATTTATTTTTTATATTTAGAACTATATTTAATAATATTTTGAAGATAAAATGAAATGTAGAGAATATAAATATATATGGATTTTGACGCGCGTCAAAATAATAAACTTTTTCGGTGGTTGTCGTGAATAATGAATATTTCGCACGCGTGATGTGTGGCTTAATTATGCCGAAAAGCTGATGGCATGTTGCTTAACTTTATTTGGAAAGGTGACTGTATAAGTTTTGAAAATGATCATGTATGAAACGAAACGACTTTTTTCTTTTTAAATGTTCAACAGTAACGATAAAAGTGTAATAAAAAATTTGAAAAATATATTTATTCAAGAAACAAAAGTAATAAAAAAGCTGTCATAAATGAAGGTAAGCGTGTTCAAACAATAAAGGAACTTTCTAAACTACACATATTATAATTTGTTAAGCAGTTTTTTGACGCTTACAATAACAAGTTGTTTTTACGGACTTGAGACGATTTATAAGTATTTTTCTTGAAACAAATGTTTACAATACATTGTATACCACTTATTTACTCACGGCTTTTTTGGATTTCACCCGACTTGTTTTTTTATTTTTATTTATTTTTTTTTTTTATCATTATGTATAGATTAAATTCATATTTTCAATATCTGGAAGACGAAATTAAAATAAATATTTTTAAGCATGTTGATCATCCTTTTAATTTAGCTCGTTCTTGTAACACTTGGGCAGCTGTTGTAAAAGATCCGTATGCTAAAACGGAATGGCTCTTGGCTCGTTCAGGAAAAACTCGTGCGTTATTTGTTGCCGTCAAGTTGGGACCAAATTTTCTTAACATTCCAGTACTGTATGTCAAAATTTACTTACAAGAAAGGTCATCATTTCGAGATACTTCGTTTAAAGGTTATTAATGTATTTCGGAAAGTACGATCAAAAGTAGATAGATCTGAAAATTGAACATAACGTTAATCAACTTGAGGCCGATAGAATCTGTGCATTCCAGTAAAAAATCAATCACCATGGGCCAGAAATTTATCTTTACCAGTATTCCTTTATTTATCAAACAAAGGATGCAATCAATTAGGAAATGCTGTTCCTTTAAAAGGAAATGATATGGAACTACTCCATTTCCTTTCGGCTGGTCCTCACGTGATCTATTACGCACCTGGAATGCTGCGGAAGAATTTAAAAGACTTGATTTTGAATCAAAGTTCATTTCATTTCCACCCAGGCCAAAATCCATTCAGCAACCACTTCCGGAAGAGTACCCTCCCAAAGATGGCTATGAAAATCGTAGACAATAAACCGTAATTGCGAGAGCAATACTTATCCACCCCGATTTGGTGGATTTATGGAAACAAATTGGTTATGAAGAAATCTGTGATGATCTCAATGATTTAGTATTGCGAGGAGCATTGATTATCCTTTTTCCATCAGCACCAAGTTCTGATTGGGTTTGCCCAACCGTTTCCAATGTAATTTCACGTTATAATTAATGAATTTCAAAAAAAAAAAATAATAATAATAACAATAAATAATTATTATTTTTATTGATTGTTTATTTAAATGTATTAAAACTGTGCAGAAAATTTCAGTCTTTATAAATTATAAAGTCCATATAAGCGATGAGAAAATGCGTAATTAAAACATTAAAAAACTTCTTAAAAAAAATTTCTTTCGCATCGATATCGTGATGAAATAATTTGCGGCGCAGCAAGATTTATAAATTTGAGAGAAAAACCCTTGTCTGATTCTAATAAAAATAAGCTGTTACAAGCAATGAAAGCAACACTAATAAAGAGTTTATAATAAAACAAATTCATTAAGGTAAAATTTTTAAAATTGAAATACAATATTTAAATGTATAATTTAGTCCTTGAGCTCACATTATTAAAATGAAATTTTGATTCCTTGCCTCGTTAATATAATTTCACACCAGAAAACTTCCTGAAGACAGATTGAAGTCAAAGATAAAAATTACCTCAAACGTTACATATTTGGAACTTTAATTTGGCTGTTTATTAATTCCATAGAAATGACTCGCGGTTTTCTTTGGAAAATCAAACCAGTCGAATTTACACAGAAGTGATTTTATAACTTGATAATATTTAGTGATGTTAAACGGTCTCAAATGATTTTTATCAAATTTAGAAATAGTAAAGTCTAGTCGCTTAAATATATTGTTAAAAAATTGTTATTATGAATGGCTTTTAAAAGGAAATGAACTTTTGATTTTCATGGGACCGATAAGTTTGGACTGGGTTCTCAGGACCGGTCCTAATTTTAAAATGGATCCCCAAATAAGTCTATTTCCATTAATACATTTTAGAAAGTAAAATATAACGCCAGTAAATCACTAAAACTGGCAAATTTATTGGGATTATTAAGGGACCCTCCTAATAACATTACATTTAAATTTCGTTTGCTTGCAGAGAAAACATCTCATTGATTGCTAGTGTTAAACACACTAACGAAATTCTTGGAAATAGCGAAAATCATTTCGAAAATCAATTTCATTTCGATTGATTTATTTTTTCATTATTTAATTTTATATTTCGATTGGACAAATATACTTTTTAAATTTAATCTTAATTGTAAATTTTTTTTTTCAATATTTGAATTTTTCGAATACCTGAAACCTAGACCTTTGCACTTAAATAGAGGTCATTGTTATAAGAGTTACTATAAAATAGAGTCGACTTGAAATTGATGATTAAAATTATATTGATTCTCATAGTGTATATTTCAAAATTGTAGAAATGATTTACAATTTTACATATATAATAATGTTAAAATTGGCTCATGTATGGTACTGTTGTAACTGAAATTCTGAAGCTGGAATTCGGGTGTCTGAAATTGAGGTTCCAATTTCAGACACCACCCTTTTCTTATCTGAATTCCAACTTCAGAACCACTCATAATATTGTAATTTTTTTAAAATACAGTTAACTGTCAATTTATTTAAAATTTTATATTTCATATCAACAAAAATATCTTTTTTTTCTTTTTTTTTTTTTTAAAGCTTATGTTTATTTATTTTATAATTTTCTCATTGTTGAATCAATTGAATATAAGTTTCATTTTCTATTTTTTTTTTTATTTATTTTTTTTTAATTTCAGGCGGCCTTGTACAGATGATTCTGTCTGAAGTTCAATTTCAGTTTAAAATAGTTACACAGAAATTGACCAATAAGATCATGACTGAAATTTCAGTTAACTGATCCCCCGAAGATCGTCTGAATTAAATTAATTTCAGTCACGTACAGTACTACCAACCCTTTAATATTAATTTTAATATAAGTTTTTAGGATCGCCGATGCTTTGACCCTGCGGTATATTATCCTATTCATATGCTTTTATTTACCAACTATCGGACACTACCGCTTGAAGGTAGGAAAAGGTAAATCCAATGTCTGACAAATGAATAAAATAGTCTAGAATTATTTGTGGCGAAACGCTGGATTTGGTGCTTTTCAAAGTAGTAGCACAAAAATCTCGTAACACCTTCTAAATTATTTACATTATAAGGATAATGAAATATTTATTTTACCTAAACCTAGTTTCATTTTCTAAAATTAAAAAAAAAATTAAAAATAAAAATAAAATCATCTTCATGGCCGCTTGTAGTAAACTTGAAAAGGTCTATTCAGCAATTGAAAGATCATACGCTTTGACGGATAAGTATTATAGCGACATAACCGAACTTTACGAATTTAGAAATAACGTGATTATTAATGATGAATCCCTCAAAGAGGATGAAAAAGATGAAGCGATAAACATGTTAAATGAAAATTATAATTTTGATAAAATTCGCTCTAATAAAGGAACGAAAAGAAAATGTGAAAATTGTGACCGCGAATATTTGGCGACTAATTATTGTGAACACTGCATTCGGATCTATTTGCAAGAAAAATTTTCAAGTTGGACGTCTGGAAATGATGAAATCAATTATCTAATACAGCAATGTCAATTGAAATCACTCGCCCCAAACAGAATTGTTGAATGGATACCTTACAGTAATTTACGAGACATCAAATATTATGCGAAAGGTGGATTCTCGGAAATTTTAACGGCGACATGGATTGACGGATACTATAGCGATTGGGATGCTGAAGAAAAGATATTAAAAAGGGCTGGATCCCATCAAGTAATTCTCAAAACGCTGGAAAATATTGAAGGTGCCAATAGAAATTGGATCGAGGAGGTATGTGTATTTACGTTATATGTATATAATTAAAAATTTAATATAATATAATTTATTTATTTTTTATTTGTTTAAATTTTTTTTTTTTTTGGTTAACTTAGGCCATATCACATCTGACTATCAGCAACAAATGGCAAGAAATAGTGTTGTGTAATGGACTAACTCAAAATCCAGAAGACGGAAATTATATGATTATAATGGAGCAAATGGATACAGACTTAAAAACTTATCTCCGTAAAACCCATGATAAGCTTACATGGAAAGTAAGAATCAAAATTGCCTTTGATATAATCGAAGCACTTTACTTTATTCATGGTGAAAAGGTTATACATAGAGATTTACATTCTGGTAATGTATTATATTTTGACGCTTATAAATCCTGGTATATTAGCGACCTTGGATTCAGTGGTCCTGTTGAAAAACCTTTAAACAGTATATATGGTAATCTTCCATATATTGCGCCAGAAGTTATATCAGGAAATGGTTATTCCTATGAATCTGATATTTATAGCGTTGGAATATTGATGTGGGAAATTTCATCCGGTCAGTTACCATTTAATAATCGTAAGCATAATTATAGTCTTGCAACGCGTATTATTAATGGTGAGAGACCGGATCTTGTATCAAGAATTCCTCAGGAATATGCAGAATACGAACGATTAATGAAGCAATGCTGGAATCCTGATCCTTCAAAAAGACCTAAAATAAGTACACTTTTGGATAAAATTGAAGTAATGTGGAAAGATTCATATAGAAATAATACTGAACCCAATTACTCATCGCAAACTAACTGGTTAAGTGTAAATTCATTTTCTAATGCATACCCATCATCCAGTAACATTTATTCTTACGGAAGTTTGAAAACTTACGAAGGTAAATATTTTATCATTACGTTCATTAGTTTAGCGTCTCGGATGGAAATATTTTCCATGCCGTACAATTAAAATTAAGAACTTAAAGGTGTGGTATAATCTTTTAAATATATTTAGAGTTCTATAGTAAAAAAGACGACTTTAATATTGATTTTGATATTGAGTACAATAGTAAGTTTATTTGATTTATTGCATATTATAAAAAGGTTAAATTTAATCATTTTTATTAATTATGTTTAAGGAAAATTAATTGATAATCGAAATAATTCGGCGATTCAAAAGGATGATAATTTAATAATTAGGTTTGATTAGTTTAACATTTTGAATTTTTGAATAAATCTGTGAAATCAAATTACCTTATAATTAGTTGAATTATTATTCAATAATAATTTATCTGGAACTATAAAAGTTTCGTGGGAATATAAAAACATCAGAAGAATTTTTAAAACAGATATATTGAAAAAAATAATAGAATAAGGAGAATTCCATTCTAAATGGTCTAAATAATTTATAGAAATTATTATTATTAATTTTATTGATAATAAAGTTTAAATAATTTACTAAATATAGATCTGATATTCAATATAATTATAACTCAAAATTTCGGTGAAATGTTATTGAATCTTTTTGTTATAACGAATTTGTAACCTTACGAAATGGAGGAACTATTATAATTGTATGATATTGAATCTATCAAAAATTTACATGGATGTTTTCTAATTAAAAATTTTAACTTTTCAAATTCTTTTTTTGCACATTTTGATTTTTTTTTTAAAAATTGAAAATTATTTTTCATCGGATTAAATTACGTTAAACTTAGCTCTCTACAATATAATTTGACCAGAAGCTAACGAATTTTTTGTAATCCTAAAATCTTAATTTAAGCCGGTAAAAGATCTTTTGTCACCATCTTTTTGTATCACGTGGTAAATTACAGCTTTTATGTAATTTATTAGGAAGGATGAGACAAAGGTTTTCATTTAAAGAATCAGACAGAAAATCCCGATTCTCAGAAAGTACCAATCGACAATAAACCGCGGTTGTTCTTGAAAAGTAGGATAAAAATTTTGGCGTGTAAAGTTTTTTTATCGGCAAGGATTATTTTGAAATTTGGAAATTAAATTCTTAAACTCCTTTATTATCAATCCAATAATTTTAACTAATTGAAAAAATTATTTTTGCGCCGCCATAATCCTTCGTGAAATTGCTTGGCCTTACTTTAAAAAATAATTTTAATTTAAGTGCGAAATTGTCCACAGTTTACTACTCTATTGTTACATTTAATATAATTTCGCCCGGAGACACATATTTTTGTATGTAAATCATTTTCGATATCTGTGTTTGAAGTTGGAATTCAGACGACCTTCGAGTGTCTGAAATTGAGATTCTAATTTCAGACAACTTATTTTAACCAATCACA